GGAGGAGCACATCCAAATGTAAGAAAACAATGTTTGGATAGGAATCCGAACCACCTAATATCAAAATATGAATCCCTTTGAAAACAGTAATGTGGGTGAGAGTAAAAAGGATTTACCCCAAGTTGTAGAGTGGCTATGGCATGAGGGACCATGCACGGCAAGTCAACTGCATCCAAAACCCAGCCACTGGAAACACACTTCCATGTGGAGGTAGGATAAGGATTATATCAGCAAAGTGAACAGAGATATCATACCCACTGATCTATAAACAGTGCACATGATATCAAAGTGATAAAATCCAGGAACCCGACATCTGGATGATTGGAATAATAAAGATGACCCTGCATTGTGTAATAACCCACTCAAAACCAATCAGACAGGAACCACCCCAGCATAGTAACATCCTCGATATATTAAAATCTTCGATGGATAGCAGAAGAGGAAGAACCATAGTAACCTGCATGTTCAACAACCATGTTTAAACAACATGGTAGTAGTGAACATGAGCCTGATTAAGTGAGGGAACAGAGACACCTGTAATACATGTGTGAGGACTTATGTTGATTGGTCCAGTTCTGAATCCAAAACCCAGCAACTGAAAACTGACATCCATGTGGGGGTAGGGATCCAAATCGAATGGGTGTTCTGAGATTTTGATGGCTCACTTCAGAGCAACAACATCCTCTTGGATAATCCCATTCAGAGATGGAGCAATAGATCGGAGGACATATCGCCATCTGCACCAGCAGAACACCACCTCCCTACTCTCAACTGAATGGATTCAAGTATTGTTTTCATTGTATATTCTATCACATTCAGGAGAATGAAACCATGGTCCACCACCCCTACAGCTTGGAACTGGAAAGTGGTAAGGACTCTCATACCCTACTGAAAGTAAACAAAGGGGGAGAAAATGTGATGAAGAGTCTGAAGAAATGGATGAGTATGGTCTGGGATGGGCATATTAATGAAGCAAACATATCACAAGGAATAACCTACAAGCGATCTTGTGGAACATCCCATCTCAACGGCATGGAAATTATAATTGTTAAGTCATCCTGGACTTACAGTGCAGATTTCGCTAGTTTAAGTATATCTGGACAGATACTACTGGTCACAGAGTGGGATCCTTATGAAAAAAAAAGGGCATGCCCCTGAAAAATAAAAGGTATACATACAAAATGTTAACTTACACAGTCACAGTCTTATCAAAGTCTGAAGAATGGCAACAGATAGAAGAGGAAGAAACAGCTATCTGATGCAGATAGTGGAAGATGAATGTATGTGTTGTGGTCCACATGCCCAATTGAACAATTTCTTCCAATGGATGACATACCAGGGAAAAGGTAAGGTGCCTAATCTGATGAGAAAACACCTGGAACAAATTATAAGAAGAAGCCAATTGAATTGAAAGCCAAACCCAATTGGTAAGGGAGGAAGGGGAGAGGTCACGAACAGAGGTTAGTTGCTACAGGATGAAGAGGTGGGAACAGACACCATGGAAAGAAGCCATGTGGGCAATATAACAATGAAGAGCATGTACGGAACATAATAGTCTATCAGGATCAGACCAGGAATATAGGTGGGAAAAGAAAGGAAGGGAAATCTGTGAGGAGGAGGAGTTATCTTCATAAGCTGCCAAAGTTTTGGGAAGGAAAGATCGATTTGGAAAAAGAATATATGTGGAATAATTCAGGGTATGTGAAACATCAATGGCAAATAAAACTGCCTGACGGTGTCCACAGGCATAGAGGAGAAGGAAATAAATCTTAAGGGATAAGTGAAAAATCGAACACGAAAACAGAGGTTCAAATGAAGGTAAAATTAAGGCAGTGAAGAACCACACTGACATCCCAATCTGGAAAGACTGCGTGCTGAGAAGGTCAACTAATTTGGAAGGAATGCAACAACAGTGAGAGGGTAGGAGAGGTAAAAACTGTACAGTACTGGAAAAAATAAAAAGTGTGGGATAAGGCAGCCCAATAACTGGAGATCAAGGAGACAGAAGTCCCCTGATCAAACAGCCAAATGAAGAAATCCATAAGATGAGGAAAAGTTGGTTGAGCAGGTGAAAATCCCAACCCAAAGACCAAAGGTGGAACTTTCCACTTATGTTGATAAAAATCTATAAAGGAAGGGCAAATTGAATGTGCTAAAAATGAAGAAACTCGCCATGACAATCCACATAAAAACCACACGTGAAGATGGAGGGTAGGAAGGATTGGATGAAATGCTGGTGACCAAGGTTGATGTAGAAGAGATAGAGTAAGATGAAGAGGTAATGGTGAGGCAGATTGGAGCTGGACCAGCCACAGAAACCACAGCTGTGCTGGCCAGTAAGGAGCAATCAGAAGGACTTTGCATGGAGTGGTGTGGATGACTGAAATAACCCTGGGAAGGAGATGGGTAGGAAGATATACATAAAGGTATTTGTTGGTCCATTCCTGGCTGAAGGCATCAACAGCCAGTGCAAGTGGATAAGGAACTGGAAACCAAAATAGAGGAAACTTAATATTAAGGGATGTGACAAATGCATCCAAGTGAGGAGTAACCAAATGAATGCACAGCCACTGAAAAACGTGAGGATCAAGAAAACACTCCCTTGGATTAATTTTGTCCAGTCACGAAAGATGAATGTACCAAGAACATCACATACAAGGAGACGAATACCAAGCATGTGGGTCCCATGCAAGGTTCCATTGGATGTGCAGAGTCCACTGAAGAGATCTCATATGTACTTGACCCAAGGGAATATGGGTTTCCACAGAAAACCACAAACCCCAAAAGTGATAGCCCTTGCAAGCAGTAAGAAAATGGAAAACTGAAATCTCAGTTAAATGGAGTCAAAGAGGAGAAGGTTGGGCCCGACTGAGATTAGTGTTGAAAAAGACACCCAAGTGGACGAGATATTGGATAGGTATAAGAAATGACTTCTCCAACTTGATTAGCTAACCCACAACAGCTACCTCCAAAACAAGCAGATGAGTGTGATTGGTGGACTCCTGTTTGGAATGAGCACGGAAGCCAGTCATCCATATAATGGCATAAGTGCAACCCTGAAGCATGCGTATGTTGGGTAAAAGCCTTGACCACTCGATAAAAGACATATGGAGCTAAAGCAAGTCTGAAGGGTAGGGTGTAAAATTGATACACTACCCTGTGATGAACAAATCAAAGATAGCTCCTCGACAAACAAGATATAGGAATATGCAGATAAGCATTCCAGATGTCTACCCTGGTCATTCATAGACATGGAGAAAAAGCCCACCTGAGGTTGAGAAAAGTGAGGCAGAACCCAAAACTGATTTAGGTCGGACAGATCGATCCCAGGTTGACAGCCCTTGGTTTTCTTGGGTACCAAAACAGCCTGGAATAAAAACCTGGAGAAGGATGAGCTACAGGTTTGATGGCTTTCTTGGAGAGAAGATTCTGTATTGCCTTGGGCAGACATTGACTGGTAGTTGGATCCCAATGCAATGGAAAGGCTATGGGTACCGCAAGATAATGGAGGAGGGGAAAGGAAGTGGATGACAAATCCCTTGGATAATACCAGAATAACCCAAAGATCTGTGGCAAAATAGTGTCATAGGGGAACAAAGTTGGTCAATCGAGCCCCCACTGGAATGGAACCCATAGAGTAGTTACCGGTACCTATTGGCAGCATGTCCATCTTCATTGAATAATATGACAAGTGGAGGAACTCCTAGATGTAGGAATTGGTAAAGGATGGGAAGAAGCAGGATGGGAAACAGTAACAGGGGATTGTCTAGGCTCAGAACGAGACAAACAATCAACCAAAGATGAAAGGGTCAATTGCTGTCTCTCAGGAATATCCCCAAAAACAGACCATACATATGTCCCGAAAATAAGTAGATGGTAAACAAACTTGAAACAATACAGTGTCTCTACACAGAAGACCACAACAACAGACAAATCATGTGTGCAAGGAAACGTCCAAAGAAGAGAAACATGTCAACATGGAGGTAATCAAAAAGAGGGTATCTCTCGAAAAACCCTCAGGATTCAGCCTGATGGTAGGCTAAACAGACTGATCCATAGCCCATGGAGAGTAAGGCATGCTAGCACCCTCACACATCTGAAATACTAAATGCTGTGCATGAACCCTAATATCTGGAAATGGGGAAACACAAAATATTGAGAGGAGGGGGGTATCACTTAACAAGGAAGGAAAAGGATTACAAAGATAAAGAATTGGGGAAAGTGATAAAACAGAACACACCTGAGAAATTATGCCCAAAAAAAGTCGTATTAGGCCTAGCTGATTCCACAGTAGGGGCATAGGAAGACAAGTATGTCAAATATCTTGTCATCCCGAACAGGTTCAGCATGTGCAGGTGGAAAATTGTCAACATCAGGAGAAGAAAGTTGACTCATATAAGGATCAATCTCTCGTTAAACGATAGCCGATAATTCCATAGTAGAGCTTCTCCCCACCTGCAGCCTGTGCAAGTGTGCTGGTAGATGATATTACCTCCAAAGTGGTAATTTGGACTTTGGAATTCATCTTAAAGATGAATAACCAAATACGACAGTGTTAGAATAAATAAATATAAACTATAAAAAAAAAGTTATTCTTATGTTCATGAACATTTGGAAAAGGAGAATAACAATTCCACCTCAGAATAAATTACAAAACAGTTCAATCAACATTGAAAAAAAAAAAAATTTCAAAAAATTTACTCAATTAAAAAAAAAAACAATTGATGAGCATAACAAAAAATGTGTTGACACAAGCACTGCCAAACGAAAAGTGATAGTTCGGTAGAATCAAATATAGAGGGAGTCACATGCATCAGAAGGGCATCACACTCCTACTAGTGGAGGGTTTTCGCAAACACATTAAACGTGGGGTAAATGGGAGCTCAAGGTTTGTGGCATGTCAAATAATTTTTGAATATAGAGGGCAGCACTGAACAAGAATAGCTATATCTGTGAGAACAGGTAAGGTACTGTATCAGAAAGTTTATTTAATAGGATACAATTGGTAGAGCTTGATTTCTGAAGTCCACTACTGTGTATCGACTAAGAGATTCTACAAAGTCCAGCATGTGATGAGGAACCATTTCTTTATCTTCTGGTGTGACCTTGTTTGTAACAATGTCAAGTCCTTTATAAACCTGAAAAAAAAAAAAGAGTTTGAATATCATCTACAGAGTTGTACCAAAAAAACATGATATTTCAATACCCATTGAATTTTTAGTTTGAGAAAATTCCTTAATAGAAATATTTAATATGTATTTAAATCATGTAATCTTTATTTTTTCTGTATATTGTGATTTTTTGTTTTACTTTGATTAAAACTAATAGTCAACAATATACAGAACATCACTATTGGATGAGACTGATCAAGTTTGAAAAGGCTATTGTAGCTCAGTTTTTATTTAACAAAAGGTATGGTGGCTTGAAGCCACATCCACTGTACTTTATGAACCACTTTTAAACCTTATAATTGTCATTCTCCCACCAGAGAACAACATTCCTTCTATCTTTTGAATGAAACAGTAATCTGGAAAGGTGAAAATTTGAAGATACTGTTCAATATACTTTCATTGATTGTTGCTTTTTTTATGAAAAAGAGGAAAGCTTCAGTAATGAAAAACTTGTACAAACAAAAAACACAGGATGACAAATGATCATCAGTGATATTCAGGTTACTTCTCTATTAAAATGACCACTCATTCATACATCAATTCTCCCCTTTTCCAAAACTAGTGTAATACAAGTTTCAACATCATAAAGACAAACCACATTATCAAACTATTCAACTAGGTTATCAATACAGGAATTAGGATCTTGTTAATCCTAATATTCAAGCTATTACACAGCTCAAAGATATTTTATATAAGTCACTAAAAAAGTTAATAACCTGAATAAAATTGGGCCTCTCTTCATAGCCCAACTTTTTTAAAACTAGATATCTTTCTATTAATCTTTTTCTGTATTATTTTAGTTTGTAAGAACATATTAACAATGAAAAGTTACACCATGGAACAATAATATTGCTTCATATTAACAATGAAAAGTTACACCATGGAACAATAATATCGCTTCACATTAACAATGAAAAGTAACACCATGGGTTCCATGGTGTAACTTTTTATTGTTAATATGAAGTGATGTTATTGTTCTGTGGTGTAATTTTTCATTGTTAATGTGAAGTGATATTATTGTTCCATGGTGTAACTTTTTATTGTTAATATGAAGTGATAGTATTGTTCCATGGTGTAACTTTTTATTGTTAATATGAAGTGATATTATTGTTCTGTGGTGTAACTTTTCATTGTTAATATGAAGTGATATTATTGTTCTGTGGTGTAACTTTTCATTGTTAATATGAAGTGATATTATTGTTAGTAATATCACTTCATATTAACAATGAAAAGTTACACCATGGAACAATAATATCACTTCATATTAACAATGAAAAGTTACACCATGGAACAATAATATCACTTCATATTAACAATTTTTCCACTAATTTCATCTAAATTATTTAATCTCTTCTTTTCTAATAGTTGGAGTACAGAGTATTAACCAGTGTTCCACCACATAATAAAACATAAACCTATTCTAAAAACTCAAGTGAGTTTGTGAGACAAAGAGATGTATCTAAGACTTCATAGAGTATCTTTAATTAAAAACCAACTCTTGAAATGCTTTTCTAAATTATTTCTGAGAACTTAGTAACAAGTCAAACGAGTATGTTTATAATATCCCAAATACTGCATGGATCCTTTGTTTTTAACAATAATGATCACACTGGCATTCTTACAATCATCAGTAATCTCTAACATGTCAAAAAAAATAACAATAAAATAAAGTTCCCACTAACACTTCCTAAGATTCTTCAAGGTTTTAACATAAATCTTGTTCGGGCCAGATGTTTTATTGGGAATGTGTTTCCTAAAGCAGTTTCTTCTTCAGCATAAACAAACAACTTATGAAAAAAATCCTTCCCATTTCAACAACATTGATCAGCTTTGGTGTCTCATCAACTAAAAGTACTAATACTAATTTAAAAAATTCATAGCACTTCGGCCATGTTCTTGTTTATCTATAGTACAGTTCATTTGAAGTATCTTAAAGAACAATTACCCTTGACTCTACTTTTAGTTAGCAAAGGCATAAAACCTTTTAAAGTAAAATATAATGTTTCAAAACAATATTTACCCAAAACCTTTTTAAAATATATAAAACAACTCAAGAAAGCTATACTTTAAGGTAGGAGGAGAACAACATGACCAAACTCTTGTAACTTTTACTATTTAAAAATATTTCTAACTAGTAATCTAATGACACATAAAAGTAATGGCTCTTACAACATTGGAGAACAGACTTCTAAGAGTATACATGTATGTATGTGAAATCATGTATAGTTTTACACTTTAAATGTACAGTATTAAAAGGAACTGGGTCCATGATTTCAGAAAACCTAACTTACTTTAATTTCATTTTATTTTGAGGAGAAACAAAAAGATGCCCATAACACTTCCATTTCTGTGATATGCATAACTCTATTGAACATGAACTCTTTTGGAAAAGGCAATACGATCAAGTACTTATGAGTGAGTTTGGTGCTAATGTACTGTAGATTAATATCATCAATATAAACTCTATAGCAAGACTGTTCATTTTATTATGCCAGGACATAGTATCAAGTCAAGCAAGAAGAAATATCACATTTAAAATAACAAGTGTCTGCTAGTTAATGTAGCATATTGATAAAAGTAAATTTTACCCGCTCTATCAGAATATCAGATAGTATTTAGCAAATCACCGAAAATTTTGGAATTTCAATTTAAGATTTTAGATTCCAATGCAGGTCTTAATGTTTGAACAAATAATAAATGAGATATTACGAGAAATGGTTATTACAATTAAACAATTATTTACTATAAAAACTATTTTTTGTTTGTTTTAAATTTATGTAAAGCTTGAGGACTATCTTGCATAGTGACAGACTAAAGGAAAAACACCACCAACTTTGGGGTTAGTCTTTAACAACAAATAGTGGGATTAACTGCAACATTATAACACCTCCACTATTGAAAGGGTAGGCACATTCGGTGATGGGAATTCGAACTTGAAAAGTTTACTGATAATGAAAATTCAAGATGTAAGAGTTTTAACTGGTTACATCTTCAGGTAGAGACTACGTATGACTGAAGAACTAGTCTGTGGAAAGGAAAAGCTTTCCAAAACATTTTATTGATAATGAAAATTCAAGATGTAAGAGTTTTAACTGGTTACATCTTCAGGAAGAGACTACATATGACTGAAGAACTAGTCTGTGGAAAGGAAAAGCTTTCCAAAACATTTTATTGATAATGAAAATTCAAGATCTAAGAGTTTTAACAGGTTACATCTTCAGGTAGAGACTACGTATGACTGAAGAACTAGTCTGTGGAAAGGAAAAGCTTTCCAAAACATTTTATTGATTTAACATCTTCAGGTAGAGACTACATATGACTGAAGAACTAGTCTGTGGAAAGGAAAAGCTTTCCAAAACATTTTATTGATTTAACATCTTCAGGTAGAGACTACGTATGACTGAAGAACTAGTCTGTGCACTAAATGTGGAAAGGAAAAGCTTTCCAAAACATTTTATTGATTTATCTAAAACAAATAATCGAAACTGTGTAAAATAAAAGTTTGAATAAAAGACAAACTACTATACATTTCAATTTGTTTAAACACATTTTAATCTCCATAAATCATGGAATGTAAAATAGTAAACCTTAATTATAATTCAATTATTTCACCTTTTTTTATGCTATTGAATAATCTATATCACTACTTAAGAAAATAAATTTAACTGCTATAAAAAATTGACTGGACATTCTACATTTTCACATGATGTAAAATGGAAAATTTAAATTACAGTTTGTGTCATTGTTCAAACCCTCCAATGTTATCTAAATAATTAATTGTTTCTGCCATAAGAAACTAGCAGTAGGTGTATTATGTTTTCCACAATACATTCTTAATTTGGTCTCTTAAAGTTTTTTAAGAAGAAGAAGAAGAATGCAGGATGTTTCAATGACATTATGTTTGCTACATCCATTGCCAAAGGTGCATTTTGCTCAATACAGAGTTCATCAAGCGGACAAGGACACAACAGAAGTGGTTGGAAACTACATATAGTCATTTGTTACAACAACGATTGTTATGGTGTGAAAGCCTTTTCTAAGCTATTAAAGCATGATTTTAATTAATTATACTTGTCATAAACATTAGTTTTAGACTACTTATTTTTATCAACATTATATTATTTATTCAGTACCTTAGGATTTTTCAAAGTGTTTATAATAGTATTTTAACCACACTATGACATGTGTATAGGTTGAGTGTTGAATAATGTAACACAACCTTAACTGCTAGCTACGTAGGAGTTAAGTGTTCATAGTTTGTCAGGTGTGATGAGTGCAATGAGTGGGTTTCAATTAGAAACTCAGGATTTCAATGGGGCTAAGAAAGGAAACAGGGCTAAAAGATTGAAAAATAATGCATTTTGGGGCAAGGATTGACTTGGGTTTAGGTTAAGCAATCAGTTCCAAGCACTTGCTAATGATGAGGGGAAGCAAGTTTGGGAAACAGATGGGATCACAAGGGATGATAGTTAAAGGATAGGGAAGTGACTCTCTAGTTAGACATGTAGATACCTGGGATGAAGAGGTTGTCATACTAGGAGAGGTTAAGATCTCTGAAATTGTATACTCTTGAAAAAAGAAGAGATAGAGGGGATCTTATTGAGGTGTTTAAGATTGTTAAGGAAATTATAATGATGCTGCATCATCTTTTTCATAGTTAATGGCAAGAATAGTAGGAATTTGGGATACAAACATAAATTAACCAAGGTAGGAGTCATCTTCTAAGACAGTTTTATTTTTTTAACAGGGTGGTTGGCCTATGGAATGGTGGAGGCAGTACATTTAAGAGAGTATAAGAGAAACCTTGACATCTATATGAATGATAAGGGCTGGCTTTAGGATATATATTTTATTTATTTGATAGTTTTAGTTTAGTTTAGAGGATGGAATAGCCGAGATGGAACAATAGATCACTTGTTGTCCCTAAACATTATGTTATGTTATACTTACGAGGTGATTTGTTGAACATATTATACATGCAACCAAGTATGTTACTACCATCATCAATACTACAGAAATAATGTGTGTTAAGAAATCTCCCTGACTTGAAAACTATTCCAATTTATTATCACAGTATTATAGTAGAGTACCAGATATAGTCTTTTACATTTACAACTACCATCTATACTGAAATTAGTTAAGAAAACCAAAAATGTTAGATATATGTCACTTGTTTCACACACTTGTGGTCACATCTGAAACAAGTGACATATATCTAACATTTTTATAAGAAAGTAAGAGAAACGATGTGACCACAAGTGTGAAACAAGTGACATATATCTAACATGTTTATAAGAAAGTAAGAGAAACTAAGAGAAACGATGTGACCACAAGTGACATATATCTAACATTTTTTATAAGAAAGAATTGTTTTACACTTGTGGTCACATCATTTCTCTTACTTATAAAAAAATGTTAGATATATATAACTTGTTTCACACTTGCAGTCACATCATTTCTCTTACTTCCTTATAAAAAATGTTAGATATATGTCACTTGTTTCACACTTGCGGTCACATTTTTTATAGAGAAGTAAGAGAAATGATAACACAAAACTTACAAAATGCTGTTCAATTATAAGATTATAGCTTATTAATTTTTAAATTTTTTTATTATCATTTTTTTCTAAAAATATTAATTCAAAAAATAAGTTTCACTCTGATCACCAAATATTACTACCATTCACACCTAATATCACTGAAGGTGTATAATAAACAAAATACATAGTTATACTTTAGCACTAAGAATTTTACCAATTTTTTTCCCTTATTATAATTTATTCTAACAATAATATCCTTGAATAACTTAGAATTTGAAGAAACATTTCAATAGCACATCAATATCATTACAATGGGCATACAACAACAACTCATAATATCACAAGCTCCTAGAAAAATTATACTTGTACTTTTTCTCTGTCATGTGATATTTTGCTCACTCTGCTTTTGCAAGATATTACTGATTACGATCTCTAAATATATTATAAACATACACAGATGACAAGGGACGTAGTGATATCATTTCACTGTTCAACAGATATACTTACATTATTTTAATTTCTAACCTATTAACCATTCCATGATTGATGGGGAGAATGTCATTGCCTCAATATTCATGCCTATACTTTATGAAAAACTTTACATCATGCTACTGAGCTAGTAAGGTATCTTTGAAAACATTCACAAACCTTGTTGTCAACTGTTAGTGTTAGTTCTAAAGAAAACATACCATTAGTAATAGAAGAAGAAAAATGTTACACTGTAAGAAGTTCTCTCACCTCCATAATATTTACTACTACTACTGTTACTAGTATTATTGCTTTAAAAAAATGCAAACAAAAATCACCAACATACACTGAAAATTTCAGTGAAACTGATAGGTAAATGTGGGTAACATTGTGATAACCCCTATACCAAGCTTATCCACTAATGTAAATAACTTCAGCCATAAAACTTAGAAGAATTACACAATAAAAGTTAATAATCATTAACAATAACAACTTGTATCGCTGCCTACGACTCACGAGTTTGATCTCACGATGCTTACAGTTTACACTTACAATATAAGTTACAGTTACACTATCATTTCCATAACTGCATAGGACATAACAAGAAGAAGAAGAAAAAAGAAATAACCTGCATCGAGTCAGCGCTAATAACTTCCCCGCAATATTTTAAACAAATATCAATAGCTAGTTTTGATTTCCCTGTTCCAGTTGCACCGAGAATAACAACTACAGGTAGTCTACGAGCGACCGAAGAATACATGCAATTTCCCATGTGAGCTGCCATATTCTTATGTTCTAAGACGCCCTCTTTAATACATTCTTTAATTTCTCAAGTCCACATCGTTGCATATCTAATAAACTGTTATAAAAATGTATTAATTCATCAGTTGAATTACCTTTGCTGTTAGCGTAATTTACTAAATAATAATAATGTAGGGAATTAAGATCATTCGTGTAACTGTGTGCAATCTTTAGAGTATAATTCTAAGAACCTATGAGTGACAACATAGTAAAATGTGTATTGTTACGTCTCCGTTCGTTAGTTAAATTTCCGTAAATTTGTTCCGACGAAACTATAGCGACACAAGTCCTTTCTTAAATAAAACTGGTTTATTCTTTCTGAATACAACTTTCCGATACACTTAATTTCAACAGTCGCGCTATAACAAAAGCTATAATTCACCACGAACGTCTCACGTGCTCAACAATATTCTCACTCATTCAATTACACACTCTCTGACTGCAGTTCAATTACTCATTACACTGTCCCGTAACGTTGTGACCATCTTATATATATACCAGACTACTCCCAATCTAGTAGTCTCCCGATAATTCACGAAGGTTCGAGAAGGACGTGACGTGATACTAATCACATGACCTCGCTGACGCAACAGTATTAATATTTCAACTACACTCTGTGTTCATGGTGTTTTATTAAGTTTAACCCATTTTTATGTAATGCCCAATTTCTAATCTACATAATACTTTGTATTTTCCCCCAGAACAGCAACTTGTTTTACACATGTGATAATCGAAAGGTACTAAAATCAAAAAGCAGCTAAAACCAGGATCATACAAAAAAAAACAAGTTATTAAAATGAAACAACGACATATATCTAAAATAAAGCTTTCAAACAACCAGAATAAAAATTTTACCACTTACAAAAAAAAAAAACAAGTAAATAAACCAGCTCTAGTTCGGCTTACCAGAAGTTTGTTAACGATTCGCTAAACTTTGACAATCAACTCTGCGATGTGAAAGTAATGTCCTTGGAGTAGATTGGGCAGAAGACATGGGTAATTAGGCGATGTGAAGGTAATGTCCTTGGAGGAAATTAAGCAGGAGACATGGGTAAGTAATTAGGCGATATGAAGGTAATGACCTTGGAGGAGATTGAGCAGGAGACATGGGTAAGTAATTAGCAGAATCCTTTAAACGATGATAAATAGCCATAAAGTATTTTGCCTTCTTGGGGGGAAGACCTCCAACTCTTCTGTAGTCAGCATTTCTGGGATGATTTTCATCTTCTCCGACACTCAGAGAATTTTCACTGGAGAAATATATGTATCTCTTTATATTAGAAATATTAATTTAAATCGTCGTATAGTTTCACCTGATCTAGAATCTTTTTAGTTCATACTCTAATTAAGTAACTTCAAAAGGTCCGCCTTGGAGCAAATTTTGCAAACGGATGTGACTTTAAATTTACTAAATAAGTTAAGGAAGCTGATGTGGCAAGTTTGAAGCAGTATTGACGGAACAGGTGCAAATGTTAACATACGTCAGGACAAATCCACTCGGAGGGTAAACCAACTCAACCTTCCATCCACGTCAAACTAGAATTCATTCTATCAGTAGCCTCGTAGAATTTGCATTTACATTACCGCAGTCAACCCACCACCCCTGACTGTTGAGACGTTCGACGGCAAGTCGGTTTATGATATTGTTGCGTCAGCGAGATCACGTGACTATTGTCACGCCACCTGCTTTCTAGAATAATCTTGTTCCTTCCTGAATGCCCCAGCCTTTACTAGATATATGTTTGTCTGGTATATAAATAAGACGCTCACAACGTGACGGAACAATGTGTGTAGGTAGTGAGTAATTGATCTGCAGTGAGAAAGTATTGTTGAAGTTAACGTTCGTTATAGCGTTTGCTTTAGCGCGACTGTTGAAAATAAGTGTATCAGTAAAGTTATATTCAGAAAGAATAAACCTAGTTTTATTAAGTAAGGACTTGTGTCGCT